TTGTATAATACAGTAGAACAATTATTTGCCCTTCGGAATTGTTCAAGTAGCGAGCAGATGATATCGATATGTAGTTGGCACTGAAATTTTGAGACATGCCAATTCCAATATTTCAATATTAATCATATATCGATATCAAATTTTGTCTAGTTATGTTAGCAAAAAAAAAAAAAACTAAAAATGACAAATTTTATTTGGGCTAACACATCTAAGTTTTTCTTATAAATAGTGTTAATAATAATTAAAGCAACAATAAAAATGAATTTCTTTAACAAATTAAATTAGAATTTGTATTAAATTTCTTTGAGATGTTTAATTCAATCTTTAATTTAATAATTAAAACTTTTACCCAGAATAACAACAGCATTGTAAATTTCGTTTATTGACTCTTGCCACTTACAATACAATAATTAATATAGTACTTAGGAACTATTTAAAAATTGGTATATCATGAATATTTTAATACATATAAATGAAAGAAATAAAAAATATTTACAACAGGAAATAAAAAAATACTCTGACTAGCGAACTCAAGATAGTTGCAAGTATTACTTTTTTTGAGAATAATATGATGTATTGAAACTCTAGATTTTTCTTTATACTTAAATATAAAACATTTGAAATGGTAATAATTTAATTAGGCATAAAATTCAATAAAATTATGATTTGTCAATTATGCTATAATTTTTTTAAAGTATTATAAGAACCACTAAATATTACCTATCATTTGACACAATGTACTTTTTATCAAATACAACTCAAAGTAATCAAGCAACGTTTAGAGTCACCACATATGATTTAAAGAAATGTGGTGAATCATTAGAGATCACAAATTTCGATATTTACATAACGAATAATATTATAACTTTTTTTCTGAAAATAAAAAATTTAATAGATTCGAATGAACTTATAGGTAATTTAACAGTATTTTGATATTCTTAATTAAATATAAATGTTTATTAACTATGGTCTCTAGTGCAACTATTATTTTTAGTTAATGAAAATGATGAACTTTATAGATCATGTTTTGTCAATAGACCAACTAGATCATGCTTTTATACCAACTCAACGTGCAATATTTCCCTTGGGTTATTAACTGACAATTTCATAAATTCAAATACATGTACAATTTTCAATACCCAGCACAGCATTATATTTAATAACACCTATCCAAATAAAGATTTGAGTAAATTTGTAGACGATTTGAAAATTATAAAATTTGCTAAATTTTTAATTTCGCAACCTGAAAATAATGTTTTAGGCTGCATTAATGCCAATGTTGCTACTTTTGAGCAGATTTCTTTGGACAGTTTCTCGAATTTATATAATATTCTATTCACTATTATTGTTGTTTTTATAGTAATTAGCTTTGTGTTAACTCAAACTGGTGCTATACAAGGTATTAGTAAAATTTTTATTAATCATAAAGCAGAAAATAATAACAGCACAAACACTAGTACATCTCATAATATTAAGGTATACATAAAATTTATATTTATATGATGTAAAAAATATAATTATAATTTTCTTTCTCGTTATTAATTGAACTCTGTTTGCTGACAGCATCCAGAACGTGGACATTTTAATTCAACAAGTAATTCAAGTTCGACTCATCCTGGTCCAACAAGTAACTTAGGTTCACTTCACTATAATCTAGTAGGTTGTACGTACCCAATTCATCATCATGATCATGATATCATTAATAGATCTGTCTCCAACTCTAATAATAGAACAACAACGTCTCGATCAATTCCAAATATAACACAAGCACTTTCGATCTTTGATTTGTTTTGTGTTGCATAGTTTTTCGTGACTACTGCCTTGGTTTCTCTGCCTAATATTTCATCCAGTTATCGGGATTTGGCTTCAAAACGTAGTTGGTTAAGTAGTTTACGAAGCAGCCTTAATCTTATATCTAATATCTGTGATAAAAATATACGAATTGCTATATATCATATAACAAATGTTTATAAAACATCAACAAGCATCGAGTACGTAAATAGCAATATCTGTGGTTTAGATATGTCTTCCGGCTTCTCAAATTTCAGAAAGGCCTTGAAGGTTCCTGTTTATAATTTATTTTTTATAGTGATGATTTCTTTTTTCTCTGCACAAGTATTCGCACTTGGTACAATACTAGTCATTTGGTTATTTGCTCAATGCTGTAAATTCTTATAGAATAAATGGCCTAGCCTAAAAAAAATCGCTAATAACTTGCATTTTTTGGCACTTGGTATATCATAATTCAACTAATTATCTGAACAAACAACTGAAATTATTGAATTTTAATAATTATTTTTTAACATTAGGTAGAATGTTATGCATCATAAGTATAATATCAAATTTATTATTTTATTATTGGATTGAACGTAACAAAAATTTTTCTATACTCTATACACAGTTGATTCTATTTTACTATCTTCTAACACTTTTTGCTGCTTATGAAATATACAATTACAAAGACTGTTGGCTACTTATTTTACTTGCTGCACTTTGTATTGCACTAATTTTTATTGGAGTCATGCTCTTTTGTTGTTTTAAAATCCTAAATGACTTATTCAAAGATCATGATGCATTTAAAATACCAGTTTATACATTCATTTATAAATCTCTTTATAATCAATCTCATGATGATCTGGATATCAAAAATACTCGTATTTAGTTCTTTGTATTCAAGATGTCTTATGAGTTCATTAGAGCTATTATAACAGAAGTAGCACAGCAAAATGGGATGCTACAAATTATAAGTCTGCTTGTAACAGAAATTTTTTACTTTAACTTATTATTAATGTTCAAGCCATATAAAACTAAATTAATGAACAATTTGAATATAATAATTTCATTTTTGAAAGCATTTATCGTTCTTATGATAACTCCATTTCTTTCTTTTGTTAGCAAACCTCTGAAAAATTTTATAAGTGCCTTGCATTTTATTGAAATAGGACTGATATTTATCATAATATTATTGCAGTTATTTATAACAATTAGAAACATTTTTAATAAAAAAAGCTAATGGTATTATTTAAAATAAATAAAAATTTCAGAAAATTTTATATTGGTCATAATCATTATAGTGTCAATTGATATGACACACCTAATTTTTATAAAAAATTTGAAGAAAAAAATCTATATAATTTTTATTTAAAAATAAAAAAAAACTATAATCTACTTTATATTTCAGATAATTATTCTTTAGTTTTAAATATTTATTTATACAATGTTTAGATAGCAGTTAAAAATAAAATTTAAATAGTTGTACTGGCAAGTATCGGATACATATTATTTCACCAACAATCACTTCACTGACAGCTTAGTTCACCGACAATTAATTTACTGATAAGTTTTTTTTTATAAATTACACTAACCTTAACTCTAAATCTAGCCTGACTTTAATGACAATGACCAGAATTACTTTGTCAGTGAAATGAGCTGTTGGTGAAATAAAATGAACTTGGCAGTAGATTAGTTTCGGTGAGCTGTCAGTGAAGTGATTGTTGGTGAAATGAACATCACTCCAAGTATTGACATAGTTGGTGAGTCACATGTTACTTTTTATCATCTTTATTTTTAAGATTTATTGCGGGTTGCGAGTATTAAATCTTGTAGTTTACGAATTGAAATTATCTGGGCAAAGTATAAAGAAACTAAAAGTCCTTAATTTTCCTTCTAAAGATGATAAATTAATAAGTTGAATTGGTATTAAATGCTCGAATAATAGTGTTAGGCCCTTCAGTGCAAAAATAAAAATGACGTATTTGTCATAGATCACAAATTAACTTTTTTTATTTTGAAAATAAATGTGTGCTTTCAAGAAAAATAAAACATCATGTTTTCAATTATACTGACCTGACAAAAATATATAGTTTTATCATTCATCAATGACAAGATTATTAGTTATCGAACAAGTGTGAAATAATGCATTAATTAATTGACCTGTGTGCTATTTTGAATATGCACATATTTGTGCTTATATGGTATGGTTTCATCAATTCATCAACAGCAAAAATAGCTTCGTCAGGTATCTATAACATGATCAAACATACTCTATTTAAATATAAATTTCAGGTCATACTCTGACGGCAACTAGATACTATCGGAGAATAAACTGAATACATTGTTGTGTATTCAATTTTGTACTTATTTATAGAGAAAATCTTATTGGTGATAGTATGCATTGGTATATTATAGTTTATATCACTGATAAGGATTTTTCCAGTATATGGATTGAGTACTATAATGCTCTACCTATGAAAGTAGTGAAACTGAACTTATTTGTTAATTATCATTTAGATTCATTTTTGAAAAAAGATAAAATATTATAAAATTACGAAAAATATGCATTAGATTATGAAAATCAGAGTGAACAATATTTTTTATTCTTATTCTATTTCTAATGTACAGTACATAATAACTGAATTTGTCAACCTAATTAGCCAAGGATTTTGTTATTTTTTGTAAATCTGATAGTTATTACAATTGCGGATTGCATCCTTTTTTGGTTAAAAAATCTGAGTCATTATCAATATTCTAAAAAAAAAGTGACCAATAAACAACACAATTTCGGTCTTTTGGTAAAACAATTATATAGTATTAACTTTTTTATTCAGATAATAAGATTTGATCTCTGAGAAATATTTCTATATCAAGATCTTGATTTATACGGAAAGGTTTGAAATTGATTAAAAATGCCTACTCTGGCAAACTTTATGCTTTCTTTATTTCGAGAAAATTGATGAGTCACTATTTGTTTACTAAAATATTTTGATAATTTACATTAGTTTTAACAATACAGACCAAATTGAACTACGGATTGTATCATTTTTTGTTAGTGTAAAAAGATTTGTTAATATTTAAAATCGTTGTAAAGTAAAAAAAGTAGACTAATAAACTGCGCGATTACAATTCTTTTATTAATAGGAAAGTAAAACAATTATATAATATTGGTGTATATATATGTATATTCAGAATTTCAATAGCAATTATTACACTTTTTGTTAATGATGTTGTGTAAAGAAATTGAAGATACTATTAATGAGGTTTTTACAAAACCTGAAGAAATTCATAAATTTAATATTATAGAATCAAAAACTTTTCTTCCTTTAAGTGAGTTAATTTCTCCCAATTGTAATAGAAGAAAAACTAAGTCCAATCCACTAAGAGTACAAAATTGTTTTGTAATTTTTTGAAGAGATTTTACTGCTTACTGGGCTTCATATAATTAAGAAAACAACAATGATATAAATGTAATCTCAAAACTTACTAGTAAGTTATAGAAACATGAAATTTTTACTTTCAAATTATAGAAAGACATAAATGTTTGTGAAATTGTAGAAATTTATTTCAAGGTGTCTGAATTTGCGAAAAGGGTTCATGGTCATTTGTTTCCAAATTACAAATATAATCCTAAAAAAAAATGTTCAAAGAAATTAAATCTATCATTTAAAATCATACTTTATATTATGTACTTTACAATTATGCACTTTACAATTATATTCAACTTGATATTAATAGTGCATCATATTATAAGCCTTACTATTATATTCAACAACTTGATATTAATTTAAAAAACTTTAAAAATGAATCAATTAATAATCAAAAAAACATGTTGAAGATTATTTGAATTATATGAATAGCATAGCATCTATACAGTCATTAATGTAATATAAAAATTCAATGTAGCTCATTGATTTTTCTTTGTTTTGTGGACTGCATGATAGCTAAAAAAAGAGACAATCACTAACTAATAACTTGCTTAACGATATTGTTTATAATGAAATATAATGAAGAATAACGAAGAAATATAATAAAGAATAATGAAGTATATTTCAAATAAAAGGTCATATGATCAAGAAATGGTTTTATATTAAAATTAAAATTTTCTATTATTATTAAGATAATGATAAATTATTTTAGCATTAAGATTGCAAAAACTTTTTATCTAAAAGTCAAACTAATATATTTAGTTTCAAGCATTTTTAAAATTTTATTGGAAAAAAAACTTTAAAAAGAACTTTTAAGGTGTTACTAGACTTATTATGAAAAAATTTTGCTGATCATATACAACAGTGAAATTTTTTTGTACTGAAATTTTAAAAGTTGTAAGGTTTGTTGGGAGTGTGTGTACTTCTTTGAGTTAAATACTTATTAGTAGCAACATCTATCGTTAACTCTGCATTATTAGCCAGCAAGTAAGAGACGTTAGCATTTGAAGCTATGTGATATAGAGCTTTAATTTTTCATTCCACGATGTCAAGTAACTCCCATAGCAAAAAACAAAGATATATTTCACAATAACCTCAATTGATCACAAAATGCATAAATCAGAGTTCTCTACAAAATCATCTGAAGCATTAATTCAACTCGCAACCATTAATTTAAAGGAATTTATTACAGAAATTACCATTATACATTACACTTATAGTTTTTAGTTAAAGTAAGACATCATGGAGGTTTGTTATAACAATATAAGTAATTTTATTCAAAGAAATAAAATATATTAAATTTAAAAAAATATTCTTTTCTTACTAATTTACAATCAATAGTTATATTTTTTATGTGCTTAATAACTATATTTATTGATACTTAGATTTCTTATGAATAATAATCAAGCCACAGGCTTGAATAACATCGCAGTTATTTTGGGCCTCTATATGTAATATTTTAAAACATTAGGCACTTATATCGATACTATTGTACAGTACAATACAATGTTCATGAATGTTACTGACTTTTGAGAAAGATATCGATTCTAATAATACATCTTAGTAGATTAACTATTCTAAAACAAATAAATACTAGTACATAGGTAACTTATAACGCTAATCTAATTTATTATACACATTTCTAAATAAACAAAAATTAATAACCAATCAACTGTATTATTGTTAATTCAATAATATATATAGTTGTGAATTAAAGTTGTAAATCAGAAAAACTACCTATCTAAATTGTATGTAGTAGAAAACTTAAAACTCAATATCGTTGAATACTGAAATAACATAATTATTATTATGCGAGCTTAAGATTAATGTCTCTTAATCAACTGTCTCTCAACACATTATGCTTGCTATGCTTGCTAATGAATGTATGAAAAAGATATTTCAATATATCGAGAAAATTGAAGAGTCACTATATTCTTGTTTACTAGTAAATCGTCACTGGTGTAAAAATGCAGTGCCATTTCTGTGGGCACGTCTATTTGATAAATTATATGTTGATAATTTATACAAGATTACATTAGTTTATATTTCATTTCTTGGAGAATCAGAGAAATATTATTTTGAGATATTATTAAATAAAAATTTACATAACTAATTAATTCTACATAAAAAACCCTTATTTGATTATCCAATGATGCTGGAAGAATTTTCAATAAAGAGCTTAGAAAAAATTGTATATTCCTGGATTGCAGTAATTTAGCCCGATAGAAATTTTGAGGAGTTGCAAAAACAAATCATGCAGATTAAGGAACAAATAACCTTGTTTTTGTTCAAACTATTTATTACAAGTACAAATTTAAAATTTTTAAGAATTGATAGTGATAAGATTTTAAATTTTGCTCCAGATCTTCAACATATAATTGGGTAATTTTTAAACATTTCAAAGCTTGAAATTGGATACGCAGCTCAACACATGTTGATAAACTCTATAAATTTCTTGAAAAAAATATCAAAATCATGTAATAAAATAGGCAATCTAATCGTTCAAGTCTCTGCATTTGAAAATAACTCTGAAATTAAAAATTCTATTATTTTGATTGTAAATGCACAGAAACAATTAAAAGAATTTAGCTACAGAGGTGTTGATAACTGGGTAGAAGAAATAATCAATGCATTGCCATCTCATACTAATTCATTGATATCTATCAAACTTGAGTGTGTTAACATTTTAAAATCATCATTGAATTCATTTACTAAATGCAAAAATTTGGAAAATCTAGTAATTTTGAACTATTATGGGCTTGTAAGATTATGCAATAATTTCGAACTTAAAAATTTAAAAAAGTTATATATTAGAAGGCTTTTTATGAATATTAAAATACCATACTTAAAAGAATTAATCTTAGAAGTGTTGACACAGGAAGTGATGCTTTATATAATAGAAAATTGGTCTAATATTACTCATCTTACTCTCAATAACTATTGTCTAGCTCCTCATGATCAGATATTTAAAAATTTAATTAAAAAGTTACACATAACACACTTAACCATTAAGTTTCTATATAGCAAATCTATTATTTCTGAATCTTCGATTCTATCAAAAGAATTTCTTCCACCTTCGCTTAAATATTTAGTAATTCATTGCGGGCTCATTACAATTTATCTTGATAGTCTACTGAATAATTGTTGTTAAAAGAATCAAGTAATCAAAATTTATCTTACAATTCAACAATTAATTCTCAATTTGCAGATAAATACTTGTGCCATTTTAAATACTTATTAAATTTGACAAAATTTCAAATTTTTATCTCTGTCAACTAATTTGCTTCAATAGTTAATTGACATATTTTCTTATTAATAAATTTTTTACAACCTTTTCTATTTTTAAAAGCTAAAAAATTTTCAA